AGTGCTAGCCAATGTGACAGAGACAGCACTCAGCATCTGCTGAAGCGTGCTGAACCATGGTCCACCAGAAATCAGAGATGTCAGCCAACTTCCAAATGAACTCTGGTTCAGTTCACTGTGGTTGGTAACACATTTATACCATGGTCCACGTTAAAGTGGTAAAGTGTCTGCGCTGTTTTGTCCACATATTCAGCCTGTTTTAACATTTGACTCCTGACAGATGCTCACACCATTCTTGCAGCATGGGCTGCCCCTCATAGTGAGAGACGAGCACTGAGAGAACAGCAAGACAAAGCGTTTGAGAATAAGTTTTGGCAACAGGACAGTGGAATGTATATTTAATAGTGGGGGGCTGAGCATCAGTGGTTAAATTCAACTTGATATTCAGTCATAAAGCAAAGATAAAGTAAGGTTTCATTTTTATTGCTTTGATTATGGTACGGGTTGGCCCAGTAGGCCAATAAAATGTAAAAGTCAAATCGACTGAGTGCTTGCATCGTCGCCAAGTTCCTGACCAATCAAAGAATAATTTGTTGCGCTTTAGCCAAAGCAAACCAAAGGAAAAACAGGTTGGCCCAAATGACTAAATTATAAATTCACCAATTTTGGAATTGGAAAATTTGGAATTGGAATTGGAAATTATCTAATTCATTATTGGCACTGCAGTTTAGTCCAAGACTAGGCTTAATCTATGTCTGGAAAACTATCCCACAATGTTACACACTTTCTTTTTCCCTGATAGCCTTACCGCCTAATCCCCTATAGCTCATCTTCAAATGTTAATAATCTCAATAAACTAGAAATCTAGAAACTGGTTGATTCTCAAAAGTGTTAGGATTAGGGTTAGGATGAAGGTTTTGGTTTGAGGTTAAGGGTTAGAGTGCCAGATTTATGGATAGGGAAATAGAGTGCAAGTTAAAGGGACCATATCCTACATTTTTCTTTAGTTTAATTTTTGTTTTTTTGGGTCTGCTTACAACAATTGTGTGAGTTTATGTACCCAAAATAGTTGTAATTTATGTATACATGACCATTTCCCAACCTCTCTCAGATGGTTTAAGTTTAACCTCACTTAGGACTAAACAGTCTGTTTTTGATACTGAGACTTTAAGAATGATATACACAAATGGTCTGTATTCCGATTAGCAGCCCTGTATTGTGGCTTATTCACAAAGCAGTACAGACTGAAACATTCCTTATAACAGTATTTGTGAATGGGCAAAACTGCAGCAGGTATGAAGGCATCGGTTTCTGTGACATCACAAAAACAATACTTCTAAAATAAGCCATTTTGCAGTTAAGTTTCAGTGTATGAACTGAACTGAAAGTTTATAATACTACATGTGTGGTGCAGAGTGGAGCAAACAGCTGTAGACTTAGAGATTGCGTGAGTAGACCGGTTAGAGTATATGCTCAGAGAGGTTGAGGATAGTGTGATACAGTGGAATGCAAGGTAGTGGAATGGACCAAGGTCGAGAAGGGCCATAGAAGAGAAAGCATGGCATGTAACGGAAAGAAAGAGGAGCGAGAGATGGATATTATGGCAAAGAAAGAAAGAATGGTGTGGCAGAGACAGAGTGGGAGCTTCTGGCACAGTCAGTGAGATTGGGATTGTTCTCGAGAGACAGAGAAAGAGCGAGCATGGTGCAGACACAGAAGATCCAAGTCAGACAAAAGTAGAGGAAAAAAGAGATGACCCAAACAGAGGAAGGAGAAGATACTTTTGTGTGTGTGTGTGTGTGTGTGTGTGTGTTTCGGTACACAGAAGAAGAAAGTCTGGCGTGAAAAACAGCTTTGTCCAGGCAGAAAGCGAAAGAACAAGTGTGAAGCAAAGCTCAGAGGGCTGCAGGATAAAGGAGGGGGTGAGCAGTCAGAGCAGGAGAGGCACTCGCTACCTATATATGTGTGTTTCTTTTTCTCTCTGTCTGAACAAGTGTGTGTGTGTGTGTGTGTGTGTGTGTGTGTGTGTGTGTGCACCTCTGTTCTATTAATAATACCTGTCCTAAATGTGTCTGGATCCAGACACCCAGCAGCCCATACAGAAGAATCTCTCTCTCTCTCTCTCTCTCTCTCTCTCTCTCTCTCTCTCTCGCTCTCTCTCTCTCGCTCTCGCTCTCTCTCTCTCTCTCTCTCTCTCTCTCTCTCTCTCTCTCTCTCTCTCTCTCTCTCTCTCTCTCTCTCTCTCTCATTATTTATGTGCTCTCTCTGGTCTCATGTTTATCCTGCATTTTAATTTGGAGCAGAGAAAGGACGGCAGCAGCAGCGGGGCACTCAATAGAAAGTGCTAACATTTAACGACCCCTGCGGAGGCAAACAAAAACAGATCGTTGGCTCTTCAAACAGGTCCTCTGGGCCTGACCTCTCCGATATGCTAGTCGTCATTCTGAGGCGAGCCGGCAAGGCTTACAAGGACGAGCCGCTTTTACGAGCTCCAGTCGTCCCCTGAGCACGCCTTCAGCATAAGTGACTGGTTGGCTGTATCCCAGAATCTGAGGCTTACTAGCAAACACCCTCCCTCCTGTGGCCATCTTTTGGAGAGGAGCGTAAGCCGCCAGGGCCACTGATGCTGACCAAATTTAATTAAATATGCCAGCATGTTTGGTAAAAAGTGCTAAAGCTTTCACATCGGTCACCAGAGCACATTTCACACTAACTGTAGCATGTAAATTCTGAGTGGCCTGAGTGCCCTAACTCAGGTTTACTGAGTTATTCCGCATCGCCTCTCCATGTCCATAAAGTTTGTATTTCTTTATTCAGATCCAGTTTGCTGATAGAGAGGTGAAAGTCACAGTGGACTTTAAAATGCACAGTGATGGACCCCTGCTAAATACTTAAAACACACGCAGTGGGCAGAGTAGCATCAGGGAATGTTTAGCTTTAGAACCTCAGTACCTAAAGTAACCCCAAGTGTTGTCAATTAGCCAGGACATGTGACTAATTTTGATATTTGAATACCTGTGGGAGTTCATGAACAAATGCTGATTAACCACAGGGAATGAAAAATTTCACTTTAGCCGTGGGTTTTTGGGACGTTTTTATGTGATAGCGCTGATGTTGCACAAAATACAGAGACACACACAGGAATAGTTTTATTATTTAAAAGCAGCCACTGGACATCGATGTGTGTTCGTGTTGGATGGGTCAGGTAAGCTAATGCTAACTAGTTTCATACTTAACAATGTATCCTTGGGAACACGTCTCGGGCACTCATGTTTCGAAGTAGCAAAGTATAACATGACATACTTACAGATATGAGCAGAACTTTCCTGTTTCACTGAATTATCATCTTATTGCTGTTGTTGGAACAAAACCTTGTATCTACATTTTTGTCATTTTTTAGTTTTTGACATAATTTGAGAATGCCTGTTGCCCTTCATATCATGTGTAAATTTAATGATGAATGGACCAAAAGAAATGGCCTAAAATTACTTGGAAAAAAGTCTGATTACATTCACTTACATTAAAAGTAAAGCTTGTTTTCTTGTTTTCTCCTGTAAAGTTATCGTTTTGGAAATACGAGGTTTTGTTCCGACAGCAGTGATATTTTCTGTCTTCCCACAATGAAACAACAAATGCCCAAATAGTGATTTCAGTGTTTGAATACTGGCACCTCGAGTGGTTGTCTGAGTATTTGAGTACTAATGCGTGTCCATATTCTTGAACATTCTGAGTAGCAAAGTCTGATTGTTTCATTATTTCATTTCAATGCGTATCTTACATGCAGTACATATTCTTTATATCTGGGACAGTTTCCATTTCCGTTAGAGGGCTAACAAAGGCGTAAGGCCTTTTCACACCAAAGTAAACATTAACTCTAAAACCGTCTTTCATATTAGAGCTTATGATACTAATGGCTGCTTTTTCAGTTTCTCCGCTCATTTTATTGCTTGGAGCTTCAAGCTGAAGCAGAGTCTCAAACTTCATCACACATATGCACACACACGTTAAGCTTCAGCTGCTCTGAAGGGTGAACCTGGTTGTGCTGTGTTTTAGTTTTTTAGCAAAATAGGCTGTTGCCTGGTTTCTGTGTCTTTTAGTTGCACTGGCTAAAAAATGCTGTTAAATGCTTAAAAATCTGCTTAGTAAGAAAAGACCTCACATCGATTAAAATGAAATCAGAATTAGGTATGCAAAATACTGCTGTTTTTTTGTTGCTGTTTTTCTTGTGTACCCGTACACTGTGGCATTCATTCATGCAGCCAACTCACTGCTGCATGTGCTTATTGCTTTCATTGATAATTATCGATAAATTGGTTAGTGTTCCCACTCAGTTTGGTTTGAGGCGAGTCTGTGACAAAAGCTTCATAGCTCCAGTGCAGAACTAAAGACACCAAACATGTCGTTGACTTCTGCCATTTCTATGCTAGCCTGCTACTAGGAGGAGAGTCCAGGAAACAAATTTATCTAACTTGTTAAAATAAGAATGCTGATTTGGGATCACCTTGTATCTTGTATGTAACATTTGAGTAGAGTTACATGACACCTGATCTTACATCAGTATTTTTACTCTGAGATGCTTGATAAATACACTACATCCTTCATTTATTAAAATTCCAGTCAAAACAGCCATCAAGTGCAAGCTTTACACAGGTGTGAAGCTGTCTAGAGGCTGTTAATAAGAAAAGGAAGAAAGTGTACAGGCTGCTGGACATCACTGAATGTGTCTGGGATTACTTGGATTGTTAACAAGTGAAAATGCAACCAACTTCTAAGACTGAACTTTAGAGGTGTGGAAAAATCTCTCTGCAGATTTCTTAGACAACCTGAAAGCAGATCTCCTGAAAATAATAGAAGCTGTGATAAAGGCAAAGAAGGGACATGCTAAATACGTAAAACTTAATATTTAGTTCTGTGTGTTTTTTGTTAAATATATTTCCTCTTTTTCTTGTGTTGAAAAATGAATAACTTAATGACTGTTGCGACTGGAAATTAAATAAATGTGCAGTCCTGTATGAGGCATGACACACAGAGTGGTTAACTAAGTTGATTATGTGCATCAGGTTTACAGGAGCAGACACACTGGTGATGGGGGATGTGACGTATGGGGCCTGCTGCGTGGATGACTTCACTGCCCGTGCCCTGGGAGCTGACTTCATGGTGCACTATGGACACAGCTGTCTGAGTGAGTCTCTTAGTGTATACACAGATACACAGACACGCATGCATGTATTTGTGCTGTCTTTAATACCTCTGCAGTTGTAAGTTTATTATGTGATGTTTCACACCTGGCAAATGAATAGAAATGAATTAAATTACTGTTTACCGTAGTCGAATGAAGTGTGGGTTACATAAAAATGACAGGAAAACAGTTCAGAGTTATTGTGAAACATGCCGCCATTTACAAAAGAAGCTGTCAGCGGTGTAGTATTAGTGGATGTGAAAGTCTCTCCATTTAAAAAAATGAAAAAACAACACAGTGCAGTATGCTGTGGTTTATAGATGAAGGTGTTGACTATTGAATTACATGTCTGGTATACAGTGGTATTAAAGAAGATTGAAAAAAAAATGAAAATCGGGGGAAAAAAGAAATGCTTTACCGTGCTGTAGTGTTGTTTTCATATATAATTCAAGATGTGCTGTGTTACTTACATCCTGAAAGGCTGTGATGTGTGAATGTTTTTATGGTTCTGTTATGTTTTTTTTTGTATTGCGTTTTGCTGCTGTATGGCATGCGGATTACATTCTTGTAGCATCTCATCTTTTTTCACACGATTCTGTTTTTCCTTCGAACCTGTTTTAGCTATAGCTTTTTTTAAGCAGTGTGCTGGCACCTTGCATGCATGAAAAGGGGAGAGAGGATTGGGGGGTGGGTAGGGGTTGTTTTGACACATACTCAGGGGGTCTTGAGAAGTCTCTCTCAGACTGGAGCCGATGCGTACAGCTGGGGAGAAGTGGGAAGGCTATAGATTTAGCCCCTCAAGTGCTAAGCAGCGCCAACTTCAATAGCGCGGCGTGGAAGCCATTCAGCATGCGGATGTATAAGCCATAGCGGACCTGTCTGAAGGGCCCTGCTGCACATTTACACAGCAGATCAATGGAGGACATGTATTAAGCTTGTCCTTTGGAAAGCGCCCGCCTGGAGGAGCCCACACCCTCGCCGCCCGCCGCCTGTCTGCTGACCCACGTACAGTAGGGAGGAAATGCTAAATCAATACGGCCAATATATCCCTGAACAACAAATCCCCCCTCTCCTAAATACCACCGCTGACCAGCAGAATATTAATGTGAAACCTGTGAAGCTCTGGACCGAGGGCCAGCACTCTGTACACAAGCAATGCCCTGATCACCTGAGATTAAGCTGATTAGCTCATTGACTTTGTCATATGCTGTTGAAATCAGCTTTAATACAATAAGATCATAAATTTATATAAAACATGGCGTTAAAATAGTCAGTACTTAAAGGGCCCATATAATGAAGAGCCAGTTTTCCAATGATTTTCTTTCAGTTGAAGGAGTTCATAACTCCTGTTTAGTATGTAAACAACATAACATGCAAAACCAGCTTGTTTTTTTATTTATAGTGTTTGTGATGTCACAAAAACCTGCACAGTTTAATCTGTGATTCTGATACTGATTCTGATATCCACCAGTTATGCCGACAGAAGGTTAGCCCACCCTTTTGTCTTGAAGTGTTTCAGCCCTGTCTGATTTTTGAATGAGAGACAATATAGAGAAGCCCAGACCAGGTCATTTATTTAATAATATCATTTAATAATATGTATATATATATATATACATATTATTCTAAGTGATAAAGAGAGGTTGGAAAGTGTTTTTCTAAAAATGAATTATAGCACTGTGCAAATTTCAGAGAGCTGCTTTTCAGTTATTTAATTTCCTGTCAAAACTGCCATTAAGTACAAATTATTCATTTTTCAACATCAGAAAAAGGCAGAAACCATATATTTAACTTCTTGACAGGCCATGGGCCTGCCAGTGGGCCCAAAGTTTTATTACACACTTCTGTAACCCTAGAATGGCTCAACCAGTTCGCAGTGAGGCCCCTGTACTTACTGAATAATAAGCCTTAGTATGTAATAAGCCTGAGATTTTAAGGATTTAACAGAAAATTGCACAGAAGTTAAATATATCAGCTTTTTCAGTATTGAGGTTGTCTGCCATTTGCCTGCTTTACAACTTCTATTCTTTTCAGGAGAGTTGCTATTAGTTTTTCAGAGAAATCTGCTGGGATGTTTTTCCCTACCTCCAAAGTTCAGTCTTAGAAGTTGGTTGTATTTTCTGCTTCTTACGATTAAAGTAATTCCAATTGCAAATTTAGACTCATCAGCCCATAAAACCTTACTGCACATCTCAGATTTTCTTCTGTTTGTCTTCTGTCTATATTTCCTTTTCTCAGTAACAGCTTCTTGACTGCTACTCATCCTTTCAGAGTTACAGCATTAAGGTGTCTTCTCACAGTGGAAGGATGGACAGAAACACCTGTGTTTTTTTTTTCAGATTTGAAGCAAGAGTAGAGATGTGAGTTGAAAGCTTTGTTTATCTGATGGTGACAGTTGTGTTACTCTACCAGGTTTCTCAGAAATATCTCCTTTAGTCATTTAAGATGCACATGAGAAATAAATCTGTGTTTGGGTAGTTGCTTGTGTGAATTTTAGTGACTCTTTAAAGGTGACCACAATGTCAGGTACAGCTTTAGGAACAGCTTTTGTTGGGAAGACACAGCTGTAATCTGTCGGTTTTACCATTGTAAGGATGGAAGAATTAAAGTGGAAGTAGAGTGCTCAAAAGTAAAGAGTGGACAAATTTATTACTGATAGATTTGATGTTATACTTTTTTCTGACACTGAAAAATAAGTCATTTGTTCTTAATGGCTCTTTTCACTGGAAATTGACTCAACAAAAATACGGTCTCTGACTTTTACACATTACTGTAGGTCTGTTTTGGTACATAAATCAACACAAGCATGATCAATGAACCTTGTTGAACAATTGAAAGCAAGAAAATGTAGGATACAGCCCCTTGAAAGGGGTGGTTCAGCAAAAAATCTAAATTACACAGTGCTCCCTTTGCCTCGGATATCGAACATGCCTTGGCTGATGGAGTACATTAGGGGTGAAGGGAACATTGTGTAAATCTGATTTTTCACTGTAGTATTGCTTTAATGGACATGGAGATCCCCGGCAGTGATGGGAATTAGCATAAAACAGTAAGGTGTGTTACCAGGGTAACCTGCTCTTACCCTGGGCTACAGGGTGCCTCTCACAAAGGGGTGTGTGTGTGTCTGTGTGTGGCAGGAGGAGTGTGTGTGTATAAAACATACAACAGACTGCTTTATCTGACTGACGGCGCTGAGTGCAATAAGATGCATTGAAAACGAAGCACGATAAGCATCAAAAATAACCCTGTCAGACAGCAGTAGCGCATTAAAGCAGCTCCCCCTGACTGACATCCCCCACCTCTCTCGCACGCACACACGCTCTTCTCTTCCCATCTCTCCCTGTCATCTTTCATTTTCACTGACTTCATGAGGTTCCTCACTCTTGTCTGCAGGAGTTGTAATTGTGTGCGTGCGAGGCCGTGAAAGAGACAAGGAGAGAGAGAGAGAGAAGGAGGGGAGAGAGAGAGAGAGAGAGAGAGAGAGAGTCTCCTTGGTTCTTGTTGACAGAGGCTGTAATTGCACTGATAAAGTGCTCTTGGACTGCTGTGCTAATTGGATAAGAGCATGGATCAATTCCACTTAAGCCTTGCATTTTTCTTCTGCTTTTTCCTCTTTTCCTTTTTGATTTTGGCTCCTGGCGACCGTAAACAGGTTGCAGTGAGGGGTGTGTTTTCTATACAATCGCATTTACCATCTGAGGAGGACAGTGACTCGAAGTGCGACGGTCTGAGCCCCATGTGCTCTCTGTGTGTGTTTAAACAGACACTAAAGCTATGGTTTAACAAACAATCACATTTACATAGTTTTTCTCTTACCCCCAGTGGAGCTGATCAGCCAAGACATTTGTTGTCTAAAGTCTGATTCTTATTTTTGCTCTAGAGATAATAGGCTAATGTAGCTAATAACTAATGGGAAGTTATGAAAGCTATAACAATTACTATGAAAAAAATTCAGTCCTCAAGATGGGTGCTGCTTGTGTCATATGTACAGTGTCAGAAACCACATCCAAACTGTTCAGAGTTTGCTTCTTTAGTTTTGGATTGTAGCTTATTCTCATTTACATTTACATTTACAGCATTTAGCAGACGCTCTTATCCAGAGCGACTTACAAAAAATGCTTTGTCTATCTAGAGAAAGTATCTTTGCTAATTACCATTAGGGAAAAGCCAGTCCTGAGCTCAGATACTGCTAGAAACAAAAAGCCCATGTTGATACCCAGAGAAAAAGGAACAGAGTTAAAGACAGTGCAGTGCAATACATTTCAATAAGTGCAGTACAATACATTACAATGAATACTTAACTAAACAAAGATAAAGAGATGTGTAAAGAGTTGTGTCTTCAGTCTGCGTTTGAAGCGAGAGAGTCTGCTGGGAGTCAGCCAGCGGGAGTTCGTTCGACCACCTGGGTGCCGGGACAGAGAAAAGTCTTGATGCTTGTCTTCCGCGCATCTTGAAGGATGGCGGGTCAAGCCGAGCTGTACTCGAAGCTCTAAGGACTCGTGGTACAGTTCGAGTTTTGACCATTGCCATCGAGTAGGGAGGGGCTGGTCTGTTTTTGGCTTTGTAGGCAAGCATCAGGGTTTTATATCTGATGCGTGCGGCTACAGGAAGCCAAGGAAGGGAGCGCAGCAGTGGGGTGACGTGGCTGAACTTAGGGAGATTGAAGACGAGCCGTGCTGCTGCTCCCCACTTATTCCCCACTTATTAACATCACGCAAACCAAACCACATTCCTAAATGATCACACACTCACCTCAAACTGCCTCAAGGCACGTCATCTCAAATAGGCTGTTAAGTTGATAAGCAATCCCAAATGAACTTGCTTATGTGGTTTCTGATGCTTAGTGACATATTGTTTTCTATGAAATTGTGTTATTTCTTAGCTACAGTAGCATCATATTTCCCAAACTAAAGAAACAAACTGACAACAAACATGTCTTGGCTGATCGACTAATGCTAACCATACACTATAAGACTTTGAAAACACTTTGAAATAACTGTTAA